GTTATTACCTTAAAACTTCAGCCTCCTAGACTCCGTGGCTCCCGAGATATTAACTTACCCGTGATTCCCGAGATATTAACTTACCCGTGACTTACCCGTGAAAAACTTTCACGGGGCCGTACGTATTACCTGCGGGTAAGGGAAGGCTGATTTTGAGTGGGCAAGGTTGAGGGTGGGCAGAGGGTCATTACCCTAAAATTTTAGCCTCCTAGACTCCGTGGTTCCCGAGATATTAACTTACCCGTAAAAAACTTTCACAGGGCTGTACGCGTTACCCGCGGGTACGGGGAGGCTGAATTTAAATTTGCGGGGTCACACGTGGGTGGGGAACGTTACCGTAAATTTTCAGCTTCCTAGCTTTTGTGGTTCCCGAGTTGAAAGTTGCGGACTAGTTGCTGCGGACACACACACACACAGACACACACACAGACACACACACACAAACACACACACAGACAACCCCGTAACAATATGCATTTTGTACTGCTGTTACACAGCACAAAACGCATAAAAACATTTGAACGGTGCTATAATTCCATATCATTTTGGCCGTTTCGGAATGCGCTTGATTTTTTCTTTTTTTGGATATCGTTACTTTATATCGAATGCTAGTACTTCCAGACCTCGATGAAAGTTACTTTACGTTGCCATTTCATGGATGTCCCCAATCTCCCCACCTTTAAGTCCCCTCCGCTCTCCTCCCCCCGTCGTGCTTTCCCTTCTTCTCCCCTCCCCCTTCCTTTCCCCGCTCCCATCCCCCCTCCCCCCAAATTCCCAAAAAAAGGCTTATGAATGAAACATACGATACGGCGGCAGTTTGTTGAGCAGCAGCCGCTCCAAACCATTTACGTACACCGGTTGTTAGTGATTTGCTGATACCACGTCGTGCAATCACTTGCTCGTTCAGTAAACGCATTTGTGCTTCCACAAATGGGATCAGTGCATTGCGTACCATGCATTCCATCATTCGTGTCACATTCTCACGATCATCGTAGCTTAGGCACTGCCCATGAATTGGCGGTGAACCGCTCGAATTCGTACAGCCGCCGGCCGAATTCATCTGGATCGATAAGCCTGCGGTTGCAGCAGTCTAGGGAGAAGAACTTTTTGTTAAAACTTTTTCGTTTTCAAATCAATTCTGATACATTTTTCTCAGTTTTTTGTTTTCATTTTTTTATACCGAAATTTCAAAACATGGAAACCAGTTCTGTTAATAGGTGGTTTGCTACCGCTATCAATCATGTAACAAAAGACAATTTTCGCCAGGATAAGGAGTACAAATCATGCACAACGCATCCAATGAAGAATACGCTTTGCTCTTTTCACATTTCACGTCTTTTCCTGGAAGAATGAAAATAAGAGAAATACCATTCCGTCGATTAGTCCGACCGTTTTTGAGAGGACTTTTTCTTTGGCAAGCACAAGGCCTTTTTCGAGGCCACGATATTTCGATTCCAGATGTGTACGCCATGGATCCGTCAATTCATCATCGTATTTCGAATTAATTTTGAGCAAATAACAATTTTGAGCACCGTATTTTGAACAGATTGACGAAAACACCGCAGATACTCTGGAATATTTTCGATTTTAATTAATTCTGCATACTTTTTTGATTTCCAACACTCCTGGAAACTCCTGTTCAATCCGCAGCTTTGTCAAATCTCTTCCAGGTTAGGATAAGATGGCTAATAAGTGAGTAAAGGGCCAAAAAAGCGGTGCAACGGCTAAAACACATCCTGCCAAATATTCCCCCCCCCCCCCCCCCC